CAACAAACTTGATAGCCAAGATCCATCAAAGGCCTCCACAGCAGCCGCAGCAGCAGCATCAGCTGCACCACCACCAGCAATCGCATCAACATCAGCATCCACACCAGCAGCAGCATTCGCATCCGCACCAGACAAAGCGGATCTTTCACAATCGAACGCTGAACAATAACCCTAACAGTAGACATAATACTAACAACAACAACAACAGCAACAGCAACAACATTCATGCATGTGGTGGTGGTGTCTCTCATTCCAATAGCAATCCCGGCATGCTACCGTTTCTGGCCGGCACGCCGGGCACCTACAACCGTACAACGAACCGACTTAATCACGGTCCGCTGCTGACGGCCACCCACTACAATATATGCAAGAACCATCAGAACAGCATGCAACAGCAGGCTCTGCTCGGTCGCCGAGACCATCAGCAGCAGCATCTGCCGCATGGTCTTGTCTATAACCCTAGTCTCTTCGGTCTTGGGCAGCAGCAGGCATTGCTGGCCGCTGGCGGTCAGCATCATGGACGCCATGCCGTTGGGGGTCTGTTGGGCCTGGGCGGTGGCGGCGGACCAGCTGCGGGCCTGGCTCTGCTTAGTCATCCCCAGCATGCGCGGACCGGTAGCATTAGTTTCAACGCGGCTGCAGCAGCTGCGGCCGTGGCAGCCAATAGTATAAGCTATCATCATCATCACCAGCAACAGAAACCGAAAATTGTAATTAAACCATTCAAACTTCTGGATCCACAGCCTTTAGTTGCGGCACTCGCCGACAGCAGCCTTGTGGACGCCATTGTCTCGAAGGTATCCACGGCAACGGTGGCCGCAGCGGAGAGTGCAGCGCGTCGCAGTCGAAGCCGCTCACGCCGCAGCAGCCACAGTCGCAGCAAGCGACGCACGAGTGGCAGCCATCATCATCATCACTCCAGCAGTCGCTCAAGATCGTGAGTGTCCCCCGTCTCTGTTGTTTTTTTTTGCCACTCAATGCCAAATATCACAATTATTTCTTTCCTTGCAGACGCTCTAGCTCCAGCAGCAGTGCCAGCGGCTCGCGCAGTTCTAGGTCCCGCTCTGGCTCGCAATCATCTCGTTCCAGCTGCTCGTCGCAGAGCAGCTCGGGCAGCTCTTCCAGCAGCGGTTCAGGCACATCACAATCCGGATCACGTTCCCCCTCCATACCACGGCGTCGAGGCTCACCCAGCTTTCTAGACAGACGTCGCATTACGAGGTAGTTAAGCTGAAGATACACAACTTTCTAGAATATAAATACCTTTTGATTTTTTAATGTATTTATATATTAATATATTTTTTTAATTGATTTATTTACCTAATTTCCCGTAGCCGTCGTCCGCCGCCCAGCACCAGACGCTAGTTGGTTTTCATTGAACCTTTTGTGTTGCATTGAACTTCCCCAATTTGTTTATACACGGCACCTGATTTTATTTAATTGATCTTGATTATCCTTTTTTTCAGCTGACTCAGGAACTACTTTTAATTTGATTTTCAAATTTATTTTATCTTCCTTTCAATGCAATATATTTTTGTGTGCTTGTATAATTGATTTTATCTGATTATTTTTCGTATTTAGCGCAAGTTCCATTGATTTTGTGGAACGCCAATAAAATATGTCATCACTTAAAGCTTATTGTTTTTTAGGATATCATTTCTATAATTTACTTTTTAGCGAATTTTTATTGTGTTGATTACACTTTTCATTTGGTGAGTTGACAGCAGAGTAGTCCCTAAAATCTATTGAAGAAATATCTTATTTAATATATCTCTATTTATACTCACAGTGCTCGCAAGCGGCCCATTCCGTACCATCACAAGGGAGCCGGTGGCACGGAGGGTGATGGTGCTCCTGAGGCGGAGGATGCGTCCAGCTGCTGTTCGAGCTGCTTCAGTCGGGCCAGCACACCGGCCACACCCATCTGTACTCCTCTGCGTAACAGTCAGAGCCCCTCGATGGCCGCCTTTTGAGTGTTAACCGATTCGCTGCGCAAAATGTGCGGCGAGTCGTGAGCGAAAGAAAAAACCTCCTAGTCAGACTTATAGTCGCCATATGCACCATACTCCTGAACCCCACTAGGATAAGATAGTTGTTATGCCGAAGGACATTGGTTTTACACGCATTCCCCCGACACTTAGTTAGATATTTAATTTCGCAGTCATGTACCCGGAATTTACTAGTGAAATTATATTTTAGTCTCGATATTATGCCAATAATACTCGTTTGTAAGCCTCTACTCTAATTATTTTGCTAATTTTAAGCTGAGTTTTAAAATAAATATATTATTTGTTGCCATCTCGAAGCGAATATGTTTATTTTGTGCACGTAAAAGATACAAAAAAAAGTAAGAGGTTCGCTGTAGTTTGTGCTTATCTGAAGCCCACACACGAATCACACCAACGTCTCGGACTCGCAATAGTTTTTGCCATCTACGTTTGCACACAACAAAGATAATGCCTTCGCATGAGTCCAATCGTAATCTAGTTGGTAATCTGAATATTAAGCTAAAGCAACATTAATATACTTGGAAAGTCTTGGTGTTAGCAGTGGAATGTTTATTTCGACTTCTCAGCAGCCTGCTTATCCGCGAAGCGTCGTCGCTTCTTGGCAATGTATATAACCCAAATGAAGGATATTATGGCCGTGCTAATGGAACGGAACATGGGCGGCACATAGGCAAAGTTCAGATACACAAACAAGGACAAGTACTGCCAGTTGGCCTTCAGCAGGGGCAAATATAGTTTCTCGACATTCTTAACGGCCGTGCCGTGGGAGTTGCCCTGGAAAATATCAGGTGTAATAAACGAAGGGACGCCTTTAAAAATGAAGACTACTCACCTCGAACACAGACAGGAAGTAGAGAGAAAGCGCCTGGTATATTGGGGCGTAGACTAGTCGCTCAGACAAGAACAAAAAGAATTTCCTGAATCGCAAATCATGACTGAACAGACGCTCCACGGTCTGGTAAAAGTAGTGGGGAACACTTCCACCGAAGAGCAGTCCAAAAAGGCCATAGGCAAAGACGCTGTGCTGGTTTAATTTCTTTGCCCCGGCCAGACGCTGGGATGTCACATTGGCAGAGGTGGCCAAAATGCACCTGAAACATGTCGACCCCGTTAGATGTAAAGGTGTTTATGGCTTTGCGGGCCGGAGAGGGTGATAAGCGTTGTACTCACGCCGTTATGGACTTCGTGCGAACCGGATGATTGAAAAGTTGCTCCAGATAAGTGCCAAAAAGCGAATAAAGTGGCTTTGAGAGGGCCATCTTAGCGTTTTGCTGCTGTTATGCCTGGAATGAAGAATGAAGTTGTACTATACAATGCAGATTTCCGCGGGTTAAAGTGCAAAGTGCAACTCGGAGAACAGATAACCCACAAAAAAAGAACCGGTTTAATTTCCTGTGCCCCAATTTTACCAAAGAGACCAAACTGGTGGAGCGTAACTAATCGACTGGGAACTGGGAATCCACGATAAGCACCTGTTGATTTTTTACTTGTATTAATTAATTATTCAATACATTTTAAACTATCGCTGAGGGGAGACCTGTCTATCGATAAGAGTTCTATGCACTATCGATACTTTTTCAGAGCCGTCTAATTGGGCTCTTTTTGCAAATACAAACTACAAAAAAACTAACTAACTACAGGCGTAGTTAGATACTTTTTTTAATCGACTGTTTAACTTGCGATGGAGTTCCCCCCGTGTCCTCCTTCGCTGAAGTCTATCCAGCACTTTCTGAAGCTGGCCCAGGAGCACGACAGTCGCGACATTGTGATCGCCTACTGGGCAAGACTTTAGTAAGTGCCTTTATATTTTTTTTTTCAACTCAAGGAATATTAATTGTTTACTCTAATGTGCAGTGCTCTGCAAGTAGGCCTAAAGGCCTCCACCCAAACCGGGGAGGAGACAAAGCTTCTGCTGGGTAAGCGAAAACAAATATGCAAATTGTAATTATGACTCATCAGTGTTTGTTTTGTTTTGGATTTCCCTGACGCACGCAGCTATTATGGATTGGTTGGAGCTCATGAAGAAGCAGAATGCCGACAACGAGGCCTTAATTCACGAAGTGCCTGCCCAGGCACACATCGAAAACTATGCTCTGAAATTGTTTCTCTATGCCGACAAGCAGGACCGCGAGGAGAACTTTGGCAAGTGAGTCCCAAGTCCTGCATATCCAGTCTATGTTTTAGACAATAATGCTCTTTGTTTTTAGAAACGTAGTCAAGGCTTTCTACTCCAGCGGCGTGCTCTATGATATACTGCAAACCTTTGGCGAGCTGAGCGAGGAGGCGATGCAAAACCGCAAGTACGCCAAATGGAAGGCCGCGTACATACACAACTGCCTGAAGAATGGAGAGACTCCCATACCCGGTCCCCTGCCCGATGACGACGACGATGCTGAGTTTGCTGAGGACAATCTATCCCCTGGAGGTAGTGGCGGTAATGGCGGGGCCAGCATCACTCCACCCGAAAATGAAGCCGCAGCCTTCCAGCCCGAACCGGTGCAGCCACCCACTCCGTCCTCACCGACAACAAACATCACGCCTCCCACTGCCGAGGAGGTGCTTAATAATCCGAACAAATTGCCCAGTCCCCCGGTAGATGAGGAGAAGCCTGGCGGCTTTGAGCCATACGTGCCCACGGCACAACCAAATCCGGCCATCGCAGCCACCATTTACCAGCCCATTGTTCCGGCTGTTGGCGTGCACATCACTCCAGATCAGATGATCACAGCGCAGAAGTATTGCAAGTACGCGGGCAGTGCCCTCAACTACGATGACGTGAATACGGCCATTGAGAATCTGCAGAAGGCATTGAAGCTGCTTAGCACTGGCGCCGAGTAAGAGGCCCACACATAAATATATGTAATGCACTGATGTTATAGCTTAGAGCACGCACTCTTGACCAGTATAATAACCGTAATTATAACTAATCTTCACTGGAATTGCGAGTTGCTAATTACAAAATACATTTAAAACGACTGAGCTTGGTAAAAATTTAAATTTTAATTATGAGTTGTTCAAATTTATTAAAATTGTTTCTAAAAGGATGTGGCGCCGCCAATGACTGCGTCGTAATTTCAATTATATTTCGACTAAATTGAGACGAAGTTTGGAGTTTGTGTGTGGATTTTGTTTTGATTTGATTTATGCTTGAATGTGCAACTAGTCGCCTCGCCTCGTGTTGTCTCGTCTCGTCTGGTCTTTTTCATTGTCTTTATAGTGTAGCTCTACTATTACTCATATAATGTATGTAGTTATTAGTTAATATCGTTTTCAATTCTATATTATATTTATGTAATATTTCTGCATATGATAATTATTTGGCACCAAAGTGTAACATGAACACGAATTTCGATTTCCCTAGAATGATTTGAATTAATTTTCTAACTCGAATATTGTGCGCCCAATCGGTTTAGAATCCAACTTAATGTGCTAAAACAAAGCTGTTTACAGGTGTGTGAGCGTGTTTATGATGTGGCTATGAATATGGTTTGGTTCAATGAATCAGTGAATGATACTATGTTGGCTATAATCGATGGTAGCCTCTAATCTTGCTTGACGCCGTTCGCTGGTGCTTGTGTGGCCGCCGTCATTTCACCCTGCAAGCGGGCTGTCTGATACCAGACCACCAGACGACCGCCCAGCATGAAGGTGAACACCAGCGCAGGTCCAGAGCGCTCGAACGGATCACTGACCATCCAGTGCTGATAGATTCCCAGCAGCATCAGCACCAGCAGCGTCACATTGGCCACGTTCTTGACTTTATCTGCCAAAAGAATTAATAAAAATATTAATGAGTTGTTCTCCAGTGGCATTATTAGCTCCACTTACGATAGGGAATCAACGCCATGGCCAGCCCGCAAACGATCTCCAGAATGCCAATTGTGCGCCGATACCATTTCGAGGGGATTTTCACTCCAAAAAGGGCAGTAAGTGGAAATACTTTTGCATACTTGACGTACTCTGTGCGCTGTAATTGGAAGGGCAGGGAAGTCAAATATGAGCATAGGTACATACAGACATAATTAATTATTCCTAGAACTGCACTCCTTATCCCACCCAGTTTCATATATTTCAAGCAGCCCAGCGGAAGGCAGTGCAGCGTGTTTATTTTTAAATGAAAACAAACTTTTCTTTTTGCCACATTTTTATAGAAACATCTGTACTGTTGCATGATTGTGTTTTAGTTGGCATGGGTATCGGATGAGGTTGTTCCCTCCTCCCCGAAAGCCAAGTGTTTGTGGTAATACGTAGGTAATTACACGTTTGCGAATTGCCACATAGAGATTCTTGAGGCGAAAATATTTCTAAATTAACATAGGGTATGACAAACAAAAATGATAAAATGAAAGTAAAATGGTGCAATGCTAATGCAAAAATATTTCTATAAAAACAAACATATACAGAGGCATATATAAATCCTATCCGTATACTTAAAATTGATTTGCTGTAGTTCTGGGAATTGTTTGCATTGAAGCGAATTTAGTAATGAAAATTAAAACCATGGCGCGTTTTTTTTTTTAAGGAACGTAAACAAAATAAATTAACAGGAACTTCTGTTCCATAAATCTTTCAAAAGAGCTTTGTTATTATTGAAAATATTCACACATATTTGGCATTTCCTCAAACCTCTAAATTCAAAAATTTCAAAATAATATTTGACCTCCATGAGTGAAATCTGCCAAATATCTCTCTCATTAGGCGTTGCGCTTAGATCTTCGCTCAACCACAAAGCCATTTGGATAATAAAAACATATATTTTCAGATTTCTTGAAATATCTTTTGATGAGCACTGTTTCTATGAATGATATTCATTTGAATGCCAAAGTTTGGCATTGATTTGGGTCGAGTTCAATGCCCATTAGACAGTCATACTTCTATTTATGCGTAGAATTCTATACTGAGTTTATTTTCAGTGCATTTTAATTTATATAAGAGCTTCCTAAGAGCCAAAGGCTTAAACTTTAAAGTGCATCGCTAGGCCTGGAGTCCTGTCCAGTGAATGTTGAATGAAAAATCGATGAGCCCCTGTCGACGGTCCGAATCGATTTTTTCCACTTACCAAATCCTTGTAGAGATCCTTGCTGATGGCTGGCGTCAGCTTCAAAGTTCCGACAAATATGAAAAACAATCCGAGCAGTACGGAGAGGCTTTTCAGCACAATCGTGTTGGATGTGGGCATCTTGCGGGGTCTGGTACTGGTCTTTATCGGTAAACACTTCTTGATGGATGGTGACTTTTCGTATCTTTAATATATTTATGTGGGTATGTATCCCGAATATATATTATGCACAATTTGGGTGGCAGCAAGTGTGGGGTGCGCACCTCTCAAAGTGGTGGTGTTGTTGTGGGCGGGGGGGGGGCGTAGTTCACTGGGATCCCATATACTCGTACAAACAGAGCACCCTACAAATAATACACCGGTCGCTAAATTTAGCCCTCGTCGCAGCTTATTCGTGCCGAACGGAAAAGTACAACAGCAGCAACAACAATTTCAGGCAGAAATTTGAATGGTTTTGCAAACCGCTTTCTGGTAGTATGTATAATTTTATGAATTCTTTTTCTGCGGCATTCCCTAGCGATTTCCCGGCTGCGTGTTGCTCGTCCCAAAAAAACGGCACGGCGCGCTCGCGTTCGAAAAGAGACTGAGGCGCGCGTACCAGTTGCAAAGTTTATTTCGGCAGCATCCGAAGCAAAATGTCAGAAAATCAATATAGTACATAGATATGCTCACATGCTCGGCGCTCGCAAAGTAGTAGGGCGACGCGACGACTCTGCCTCTCAGCAGCAGCAGGGAGAACGGCAGCTGGACTGTATGTTTGGGTGTTTGGGTGGTGGCAGTGGCACTGGTGGTGGTTGTTGGAAAACTGTCGTAATTAAGGCCGTAGACCCCGGCCGGCTACCCCGAGGCACAGCAATATAAACAGCAACCCTTAAGGAGGGAGCCACAACAGCAAAACAATTATAAAATGACATGAGAATTTATGTATATTCAGATGGAACTCAAATTTCTACCTAATCTACTGGCAATGAAGGTGATTTTAAAAATCGGCTATTCAACGATTTCGCTATACATAGTATCCCAATCATTACCAGCCCATCGGTCCACCCGGCATGGCTCCGGGTCCGCCACGACGAATGTGGTCCTCGGGGGGTGTGTTGGGTACGGGATAAATGCGCTTCGCCACGGACATGCGTTGGTTATAGCTCTCGATCTGTTCCCGCAGCTGGGCATCTTCCTGCTGGGCGCGTCCCTCGTCAAACTCCAGTGTGGCGACGCCGTCTAGTCGATCCAGATCCACCCAGCCGCGGAAGCGCACACAAACTCCGTTCATAATGAAATGGGAGCGAAGATGCACCTTGCCACGCTCCCGCTCAAAGTCGCACTCCTGGTCCTGGGCATAGGGATTGTGATTCGCATTGAAGTAGAGCTGCACATTGGTGCCCGATGTCACAAAGGAGAGCTCCGCATAGCCCTTACGACAGTCGTTGACAAATCTTAAGCGTCGCTCGTCAATGGCACGCTCCCTGTATCCAGTATAGCGAACCTCAGTCTCCCGACCAAGACGACGGAACAACTCGTCGCTGTCGTACTTTGCTTTCTGATCGGGCACAACACGTGGCATCTTGAAAATGAAACGGGGCTTGGGCTGTTCGTACATTGCCATTGCTTCATATGGCGGCAGCATGCCTGACATGGCAGCTGCTTCTCCTAGATTTTGATGGTGATGCATTCTCTGGTTACTGCACTCTGCAAGGAGAGAATATTGACTGAACTCTGTTGAAATATTTCTTATTATATATACCAAAAAAGGAGTCATTGGCTAGGTACTAGGTTTAATTGGGCTCTACCTGCACGATATATGACCCAATTCAGCAGCTTAGGTAGGCATACACCAGGTATACACCAGGTATACGTTTTAAGTCGTAGCTAATTGCGGCACTAGTAAACCAATTTGATTTGAAATAAAACAAATGTCTCAACGGCTGACTGCAACAGTGTTGGGTAGCAGCACGCAGAAATAAAATGAAGTGGCAACATTTTTCATTAGGCGACAACTCTAAACATATAAATCAGCTGAACTTGTGTATTTCAATTGTTATTAAACTTAAATAAGCATGTCGTTGGTTGCCTATGCCGCCAGCAGCGACGAAGAGTCCGAGTTTGAAGAGGATAACTCTGGACCACAAGTGGAACTGTTGAAACCGCAGTCAAAACCAAATACAGCTGGAACAAGCGCCCTGCCCGTGGAAGAAAAGTCATTCAATGGCCACATTAGTGACGAGGACGACGACTATGTGCCACAAGAAGCGTCCTTGCAGCAGCAAGCACCGCCCAGTGGTCGACTGTCACTAGCACTACCCAAGCCAAAAGTGGCTTTTGAAGAGATTCAAGAGAAAGATGATTTGGACGACCAGGTGACACTCCCGTTTGCCAAGCTGCCCATGCCACGCGCAGCAACGCTAGGCAAAACTTTTATAGAGGAGAAGGACGATGAATTTCTGCACAAAAAGTCCTTGCCACTGGACAGCGATGCATTGGAGAAGCCTCCCCCTCCACCAGTCAAGGAGCGCGTTAAGATTAGCATCCCTTCGCTGAGGGACTTTTCGGATGTGGACAAGGAAAAGGCAGAGAAATCGAAAAACAAAGACAGCAAGCAAAACATGCCCAAAGGATGTGGACTCTTAAGTCTACTGCCCCAAGCAAAGTCTGAGCGTAATTTTGCTAAATCCTCAACAACAGAGACTGCCAAGCCGTCCACAAGCATCGCAACTGCTCCGAAGTCAACGAACACAATGCCACAGTCTCGTGCCGCTGCGCCAGCCTTTGTGCCGGATACAGTGAAGCATCGCCGCGCTGCGCACAACACAGAAGGAGTAGATGGCGTAACATTATCTGCTAAGAAGCCTACCCAAGATACTGGTGCCGCCGAAAAGCAGCCAAAGAAGCCTTTGTCAGCTCTGGTGAATGCAAGCGACAGTGAGGAAGATGATGACGACGAAGAAAGGGACTTTTTCTCGCTAAACACAGAACAGAAACTTCCCGAGGTGAGCAGCAACGAGATCAGCGCCTTGGTAGCCAAACGCGCTGCCAAAATGGTGGAGGCAAGCGGCAAATATCTGGACGAGATGGCCGCTCGTGATGCGGCCGAGGCAGCTGAAGCAGAGGCGACTCGACTCCAAGACGAACAGATGCACAACGCACAAAAGCGCTATCATGAACAACAGCTTGATCCGGCTGCCATGGATGCGTTGGTGGGCAAAAATGCCAAGCGCCGTCGAAAGGAGACCAAGGACATACAAGTGATTGATATATCTGGGTCGCAGGTGCTGCCCGATCGCGAGGAATGGATGCGCACCTGCTTGGCCTCTTCCACAACTTTTCAGCCTACGGGCGTGCTAACGGACGAGGAGCCTGTGGCCGGCACCAGACGCAAGCACCAAATCACCTACCTGGCGCACAAGGCCAAGGCCAACGAGGCCGAGCTTCAGGCCATGTGGTCGGCCAACCGGCAAACTCGAAGGGCCACACAAAGCAAATATGGTTTCTAAATTTCCATTTTATTTACGAGCTAACTATAAATATACGTTTTAATGGTACACTAATCATGGGTTTAATTCAACCAGCCCTCCCGTTTACCGAGCCTGCTTCCCACATAGAAAATTGCAGTGCTCAGGAGCAGTATCAAAGGGGCGATGGTCACGTAGATGGGTATCTGTTGTGGATATTCCAATGTTAGGCATATCATTACCTGTGAGGTGATGGTCAGCAGCACACCGCCAATGTTCCACTTGTACAGGAGCAGCAGGTCTGTTAGGCGGTTAAGATTCCTCCACTTGCGTATGAATTTTATGATCACGTAGATTATGAGAATGCAGTCGAAGAACCACAGCGGCGTAAAGGTAACAAACCAATTCCAGGTGGTGCGCGGATCAAGGCGCAGACACAGGAGGATGAGGAACACGAGTACTATGAACCACGTAAAGAGTGCCCGGTGTGCCAGTGTCATTTCCTCAATTTACCACATCGCATGGGTCGAAACGATCATAGATAGAGCTGTTGAATATAGATTTATATATCAATTTACACTAATATATAGAGTTAATGTTGTTTACAAGGTTTGCGGCCAGAAAGGGTGGTGTACAGCGGAATTTTCCTCGATTTTGAAACTCCGTTTTTGCTTGGACAATCGGCACAGAATTTCCTTCGATACACGAAACAATTTTCCACAGGATTAACCAGTTTTTAAGTACTCATTTTCATTTAATTACTTAAAAAATCGGTTTAAACAAAGAGGTAAACATTTTCACCAGTGTGACCGCGGAATTATTGATAAAATATACCGCCAGACTCTCAAAACACATCTCATTTTAAAAATATACCGTAGTATTAGAACATATTCCTCGATGTTGATGTTCTATTTGATATTACTTGCTTGCAAAGACTTTGAACACTGAAACAATAATTTAATCCGATTGAGGAATCAATTTGGTTTAATTGAAGTAGTCCTTTTTATTGAATTTTATACCTTATGGCCTTATATTTTACAAATTCGTATTTGAATCTTTCATTTGATGGTCAGGGAATTTTTCTCCTGACTAAATCGGCGCCAGAAATCAAAACTAGTCGAAGCGTTTAAAAAACAATAAACTTTATTTAGTAGAAATATCTTGGTAAAAATCATTTAATCTGTTCGCTTCCCGCCAACCAGCTTCAACAGCACCATGTACCGTGGAATAGTGAGTCTTGCTCGAGGCCTCGCCCGCAAATAGCAAGATTGGGTGACCATTGTCATTCATCACTGGAGTCTCCAGATCCCAAGGACCAGTACTCAGCTCATCGGCTTTTGTCGTACGAAAACTATAGCTACCACGGAAGTTGGGATTGGAATGCCATTGGGTGCGAACAAAACGTTTAGCCTGAGGCACGTCAAAGTTGAGAAATTTTCGGAAAAGCCAGTTCAGACCCTCCAGTACTTTTTCCTCTGGGAGCGTCTCCATGTGGCGGGCGTGCTCACCCGCAATCCAAGCCTGCAGCAGGCGAGGCTGATAGGAGACCCGATGGCAGCCGGTAATGCTCTCCAGCCAAAAGAACTCCGAGCTGCGTAGCACCTGCAGATCCTGCTCCATCCACAGACAGTAGAACCCCGCACAGTCATTAGGCAACGGCGGTGCTGAAAACTCCAAATAGAACTTGTCCACTGTGCCCAGTTTAAGGCTTTTAATCGCATTCACCTTTGCTGCCGGCAGTGCAGGCACAAACAACGTCTCATGTTGCTCCTGAAGTACTCCCAGGGAGACGGTGCAAATGACATGATCTGCGTTGAGGGTCCCTCCGTCCGAGCAACGAACTTTCAAATTGCATGGACAATTACTGTTGATCTCGGTAACTCTCTTCTGGTAGTGTACACGTCCCTTGAGAACACTAAGATCATCGGGCTGATCGCTGGCGCTCATCAAAAGTCGAAGGAATCTCTCGAAGCCCAAATCGCGCCAGTTGAGCAGCTGATCGCCATCAGATTCAGCGAATTCCAAATGTCCGCGTCCCGAAACTTCAAGCAAGTTGTCGGAGCCCTCTAAAGAACTTTCTGACCTCTTGCAGCTTTCCAACATCTCTTCGGCCAGGGCGCGGTCCACGGATGGCAGCTGGATGTCAACCTGCTGCCAATACTTCTGCGACATATATTCTCCCACTGACCCCGCGTATGGGCTGGGCCCGTCTGGAACCGAAATCGCTGCTATTCCCCTTAATGTGATAGCCAGCTCCTGAGGTACTTCCTCCTTGTTGGATCGCACGCACCGCACCGTACCAAACAAGTCTCCAGTCCGTTCAAGGAGACAGAGATCCTTGACCATCTCGTAGACGGCATTCCCATTTTCTCCGTGGCACCACTGCGCTCCCAGGTCGACTACATTGTCCGCAAATGGAATGGTGTGTATTCGTCCGCCCAGGCGCGTCTCAGCCTCCAGGATCTGCACGTTTTTAAAGCCCTTCTCCAGGAGACGAGTGGCAGCAGCTATCCCAGAGGCTCCTGCCCCAACAACTACAATTCCGACGATTTCTCTGCTCTTGCTCATGGCTTGAAAAGGATTAAACAAGCTGCCCCGATGATCGACGAGATACTGATTTAAATTTCGAGTTGTGGCTGACTTTTGTGGGCCTACTTTGTCGGTGATTTTCTGTCAGCATAGACCACAGAGGCCGCACTTCGATTGCTCCCATTGCGGTTGCACTCATTCCGGTTTTGCAGCGCATAACAAGGCGTGTCATTGATTTATTTTACCCAATTAATTTGTCTCTGTAAAGAAAAATCAGTGGCTATGGTGTGGGAGTTTGCCGGGAAATACGCACTTCCCGCCAAAAAAAAAACGTACACTGAGAGTCACCCTAACCTATAATCCATGTTCAGTAAGTCCTTAGATTAATTAATTCAGTTGAAATTATTGAATCAAAACAACAACACCAATCAAAAACTTTGCGACAAATTGTCAATGCTCCGTTTTACGTATCTAATGCAAACATCCACAAAGATCTGAATATTCCAACCATTAAACCACGAAAATAATTTAGCCTTAAGTCTATTAGACAATAGCCTAACAGTAAGAAGACTGAAAAGATACCACATTCTCGATATCCCTGATAGATAAATTTAACAAACTAAAAAGATGTTATATATAATAGCAGGGCTCATTGGAAAACTGCTATTTCTGTTAATTGAATATTAATTATACAATTTACTTATTGTTTAAAAACAGATTGTAAATATAAAAAGAGAGAGAAAAAAAAAAAAAAAAAACAACAACAAAATCGGTATAAATAAAAATTTATCAAAATGTAAACAGCGTTACGGCGCTGCCAGCCTTTTTCAAGCACAGCGTTGCCACGTAAGTCTCGGTAATTATCGAGATAGTGCGATATACAGCTACGCAGGCACAAAAGCAACAACAACGTAGAAATAGGCAAAGAAAATGCATTAAAAGTCGTATAACTTATTAACTCACAACGCCTTTAGTCAATCCTTAACATAATCATGGCATCCGCTACGGTAAGAAATGTATGTATGCCGCACTAATCACCTAACACGCAGCTTTTTGGTCTGCCAACGACAACGTCAGACAACCTGAGATTCTGCCTTAAACTCCTACCTGCCAAAACCCCTTAAAGAGTAGAATTAATTTATCAACGTGTTACGCAGGTGCCGCTTCTAGATGATGACACGATACCCTTTGGCGAGGAGGATGAAATGCGCGATCCCAGTCGTGCGGGGGAAAAATACACGTAAGCATACAAGCTGCCGACACAATGCACACATTTCCTAAACTCTCTGGTCCCCTAGACACCCATACGTCACCTTCTTTCACCTGTTCTTCCGTGGTGCAGCCATCGTGATCTACATGTTCTGTGGATGGTTCAGTGATTCCTTCATAACCAGCTTCGTGTTTGTGGTGCTCTTCCTCTCTGCAGACTTCTGGACGGTAAAGAATATCTCCGGAAGACTTCTCGTTGGGCTGCGCTGGTGGAATTACGTTGATGACGATGGCGTATCCCACTGGGTGTTCGAGTCGAAAAATGTGAGTCACGCAGCCGCGAAATTGGGACCACTTGCTAATGAAACGTAGTCTGAATCTTACCAGAGCCGCATCAACAAGCACGAGCAGCGTATTTTCTGGCTAGGACTGATACTCTGCCCAGTGTTCTGGGGACTGTTCTTCCTGATGGCCCTGTTTGGACTGAAGTTTAAATGGCTGTTGCTGGTCATGATTGCCATTGCCTTGAATGCTGCAAATCTGTATGGGTACATCAAGTGCAACTACGGTGCTGGGAAGGATCTTAACAGCGCCGCCACAGACTTTGTCAAGACACAGCTCTTCAAGAATGCCATGGACATAATGACCAAGCCCAGTACAGCCCAGCCACCGACAAATGTGCGTCCAACGGGCATAGTTTAAGCATGGAATGCACCGTTGAAGTCAACTTTCCAACTTTGCTGCAGTGCATTCCAAAGAGTAATTTTATGCTAAAACCCTGCAAGATGAAGTATCCTGGCGTGGCATCTCTGTGTGTGTGTACATTTGTATAACTTAATTTAGCCATACTGCACTTTACTATTATAACTTTTATTACTTTTAATTTGAGTAAACTAAATGCATGTGTGTGACTGGATATTTGATCGTATTAAATTCTCTTAATAATATAAGAACAGTTACTGCGGATTACTTATTCAACATGCTTCAACATTGTTGTATGAAGAATTGATGAATCAATCGGATAAAATAATATCTCCAAGTCTGGGAGCATTAGCTTGTTAGAAATTTAGGACGAATATCAAAATCAAGGAAAATGATTTCTGATCAGCTTGTGTGAATTTATTTCAAAATTACAATCACACTCAAATCAAAGTGAATGCAATAATTTTATTGCATTTTATTGCATATTTTATTTAAAGCCAAATAACCATAATGGCAGAAAAAGGCGCTAAGGTGTTCCTGTTCATTTTCATATGTCTCTCTAATTATATTTATCTTTAATCTTAAATAGACATTGACATCCAACATTCTGTTAATTATTTGCCTATTCTGCTAAGTATGTTATTGGTATGAAGAAAATGTGTAGAAGTAATGTAATAAAGTCATAAGTTATACCAGCCTAAAAAAAGGAGTATTTATAATCGGATTAAATTATTGTTTCAGTGTTAAAAGTCTTTGCACGCTAGTAATATCAAATAGAACATTAAAATCTAGGAATATGATTTAAGATTACGGTTTACTACGGTATATTTTTAAAATGAGATGGTATATTTTAGTATATTTTTGAGGGTTTTGCTGTATAATTCCGCGGTCACACTGGCCGCCATTGTCAAGTCAGAAAAGTTGTGAAAAATTGTTGAAAATTGAAGGAAACCTATAGTTTCAGTGGAAAAAAACGTATAAGCTAGTGAATAGACAATTGTACTGTGAAATTTAATCAAAGAATAGGTAAGAGCACGCAAAATCAGCGGAATATTGTAGGCAAAAAAAGTGCACCGGCATATCGATTTTTTCACACGAGACGCTGGTTAACACACATGCGCATGTGGGCATACATGCACACGTTCGTAACCGGAAAAAGTGACTGTGATTTCCTTCTTGGTTTATATTTGCAGATAAAAATGCGTGGACGCGGCGGTTTCATTCCACGTGGAGGTGGTACCACTCGCGGTGGCTATTACAACAATCGCAACTCGAGCAATTACGTGAACACACGTACACAGGGAAACTACCGCCCCAACGGGGGACGCTACGAGAATAACTACCACAACAACAACAACCGCTACAGTGGGGGCGGAGGAGGAGGAAATGGGGGAGGCGGCAACAATAGCCACTATGATAACCGTAGCCGCGACAAGTTCACCCATCATAATTCGAGCAGCAGTGGACGCTACGAGTCCAGTTCCAGCCATAAGCGCAGCTATGTAGGTTACGAAACAGAAGTGCTCTTGTGAAAATTCTATTCATTTTCCGCATTCTATTTTTACCACTTTAGGATTCATCACGCGATCGCAACGATGATCGCAACAAGCGTCCGCGCGTAGACGTAAGTTACAAATTTGCACTTCCAAAATGCTAAACGGACATAATTTCTGAGGTTATCATTATGCATTAAGTTTTACGACGTCATGTTCTGTGTAATGTTAATGACTCTTCCAATATTTATAGCACTGTTTGTGGAGTTTAAACGCGGGATTCTATTGAGCGAGCGTTAAAGCAAAGCATATCCCAAACAGCAAAAGCCCAAACAGCACGGAACTCAAAGTAGCCAGAAAAGCTTTGGGAGCGCTAGAGCGAGTGCTATGTTTACTATATATACTCCTCAATATATATAATCTGTGTTGTCCATAGAGTCAGCAGCGTCGAGGCAACGCATGGCAAATAGGCATATATATTTGGGCAGCGACCGATCGATTTGGGAGTGCAGCCACAAAGGGCTGCAAGATAAAAATATTGCCTACTACTACTACCACCCACTCACTAAACTGTTGATCTGAAAGCAAAAACTTCTGTATAGAAATGTGATTGAAGCGATTTTGATCTGTAACCTTTTATCTTGAGCCTTGTAACCGTACCAATGCAGTCAGCAGTGCAGTCAATTCTCTCCCCATACCAAATAATAATCAATCCGACAACAGATAATCTATCTATATACGCATATGCGTCTGTGTGTATCGATCCAAATCTAAATAATAGCTATGAGTGTAAGGTTTCTTCATAATGCTACCACATACCTACACGCTGCAGGATATATATAACCGCATAACCGTTGCGATAACTACCCACAAATCAGATAAGATCAGAGATTAATACAGTTTCTATACCAATAGCAATTCTTTATCATCCAACAAGTATATAAATATATTTATATAAATATCTACCTATATTCGATATCACATCAAAAAACAAAAACAAAACCAAAAACAAACAAAAAATGCTCCTACACTCCTTCCTACTCGTCAATCGTCAATAGGATTATCGTCGCACGTCCTCGTCAAACGATCGCAGCGATCGTCCATCGTCATCTTCGCAGAATGTCGGCTCTTCATCATCGAACTACCATCAGCGCAGCAGCACCGGTGGAGGCGCTAGCTCGAGCTCGTATCGCCCGCGCGATGACTCGAACAACGGTAGCCGGAATCAGCGCGAGCCGTCAATGGGACCGCCAAAGCGTATGATGCGTAGTGTGGCCGGCACCAGTTATATATCGCGCCCACGCGGCTCAATGTCCATGCGTGGAGGCGGAATGACACGTGGAAATATGAGAGTCGGAGGCATGCGCGTTGTGCGTACCCGCAACGTCAACGAGTCCAATGATCTGCGCACTATGCGCCGCCAGTTGCTCTATGCACAGCAGAAAGATCGGGCTCGCCTGCTTAAGATTCAACAGCTGAAAAGGTAAATAGACAAAAGACAAATAGAACAAAAAAAACAACCCAAGTTTATCCGATTAAACGGAGTTTCTTCAATTTATCAATTGTGTGTGTACCAATTTGCATCATTGACCATTGACCAAGATAATAATATGCCAAAGGCCAAATAACTATTTGAAAATAATAATAATGTGAGATTGAAACGAAAGAGAGAGCACTCTACTCCACTCCACTTCACCCACTCTATGTCATTGGCTGGATTGAGATTGAGATCAATTGAGATGAGAGAGGGCCATCCGCATTCTTCGTAGACAATTATTGTTTGTGTGTGACTAGTAGAAATTGAAATTGAA